TATATATATTGTGTGTGTGTGTGTGTGTGTGTGTGTGTGTGTGTGTTAAATAGCTAAATTGGAAGCTGAGGAGAAAATACAACTTGATTAAAAAGGTACATGTCAACACACGTTTTGTATGGTGTCAATGACAAATCACTGATACTGTTGAGTTTTGAGTTTTTCCTTAACATTTTCCAAAATAATGTACTGTAAGGTAATATTTGCAAAAGTATTATGACCCCTTTTACTGATTTTTTTTTTTTTCTTAACAGTGGTGGTCCATGGTGGTGTAAATTAGATGCAATTGTAGCATAGTTTTGGAAAAGTTACAAGGGGTTTCCCACACTGACTTGTTGTCTGTCTGAACAGGACCTCTTTACTTCTAGATGTTCTAAAAGCAATATACATATTTTTTTGTCTTTGCTTTTAAATCAGAAAGTGGAACATACTTATTTATAGTTTTACAATACATTCTGGAAAGTTTCCAAATCTACTGACAGTCATCAGCTGAAAATCATCTGTCATGATGTTACTGCTGTGAGTGAGAGGAAACAAATGTTTATCCCACAAAGAAAAATATTTTTTATTACAGAGGTGGGAAAATTAATATCTATTTGACAATTGGTGAAATATTCTATTCCAAGTCAACGTTTACATGGTTACATATTACACACGTTTTTAAAATGTACATAAACAGAAATAGAGTTAGTTCCCTATGCTTGAACATTTCTACTTTCCTTTTTAGGTAAGTACTGTAATTTTAATTTAACAAAAATAAAAAATATATACAAACATGGACATATTTGCATTACCAATTTTCTAAATTCTATAACCTAAAGAAGTTGCCTCAACTTTTTTGTTAACTTCATTCCACAGGGTTTTGTGAACTTTTATAAAATTCATGTGGTAGTACACTATTCAGGATGATCAGTTAAAGACAAATAGAGGCATATATATTTCAATCAAGATATTTTGCGAGCAGTCTACAGTTAGGAGGGGATGAATCCTATGTGAATTTGTTCAAAAATTAACATCATTTTCTTCTTGGAACTTCTAGTGTTTTAAGGACGTGGGAGAGTGGTACCATTAAGCCAGTGATGTCACGGGTTCCCACTCCTCCTCCTCCTGGGGAGATGTCAAGTGGACCTGTGGCAGAGAGCTGGTGTTATACACAGGTATGAACATACATTGACACACTAAACCTTATTTTATATGTTGATAGAATTGGTCTTATTATGTTTGTGAATGTTTAAATTTGATGAAGCAGCTGCTGTTATGAATTATTCCTCATTGTTGTCAAAACCTTGAACTAGTATTTCCACTTTAACTTATTCTTCTTTTTTTACAGACACTTTATGACAAAAGTTTTGTTACATTTATTTTTTTTCTTGTTGGGGGGAAAAAAAACAGCAAATAATTGCTCAATTTGGAGTTTTATTTTATTTTTTTTACTTTAGAATGAAGCTGAATAGCAGTGGTGGGCACAGCTAACCAAAAACTTATGTCTTGTCAAGTGTACACGTAGTTCGCCAGTAGCGTGCCTTATGGACTTTGGGACATGCCTACAACAGATGGGAACAAGCTTGTGAATTTTGTTAACAAAGTTGGCAAAACCTAATTTAGCGGAAGCTAATTCTGCAAAAAAAATTCCAAAGTTAGCAAAAAAATTAATCTGCTAAACAAAAAATGTATTTCTGCTATTAGCTGTTAGCATGTTAGTGGAACTGTGCACACTACTGCTGAATAGTTTCAGAGATAATACTAGTTAGTTCTTATTTAGTTCCAGCAAATGACTGGTTTGATTGTTTTCGCAACCAGCAAAACCCCACAGAATTATAATTTTGTCAAGTTTAAACGTCCCAAATGTCTTCTGATATACTGAATTGGACCTCCTTTTGCCTTTGGAACTTCTAAATTAATTGTGGCTTAGATTAATCAGGGTGTTGGAAACATTCCTGAGATTTTGGTCCATATTGATACGATGGCATCACACATTGGCTGCAGATTTGTCAGCTGCATGTCCATGATGTAAATCTCTCATTCCACCACATCTTGATTAAATTGAGATCTGGTGATGGTGAAGGCCATTGGAGTCTAGTAAATATTGTTATCGTCTCTTAGTTTCCTGTTTCTTAGCTGACATGTGTGGCATGGTCTTTTGCTGCTATAGCCCATTCTTCTTCAAGGTTCGATATGCGTTCAGAAATGGTATTCTATATATTTTGGTTGTAACAAGGGGTTATTTGTGCTACTGTTGCCTTTCCTTCATCTCAAACCAATCTGCTATTTCTCATCTGACCTCTGACATCAACAAGGCATTTTTGCCTGCACAACTGCCACTCACTGGTTAGTTTCTCTTTTTTTTTTTGGCCGTTCTCTGTAAACCATAGAGATGGTTGTGAGTGGAAATTCTAGTAGATCAGCAGTTTCTGAAACACTTAGACCAGCCTGTTTGACACCAACAAACATGCAGCTTTCAGAGTCTGTGAAATTTCCTTTCTTCCTCATTCTGATGATCGACTTTAACTTCAAGTAGTCTTTACCACGTTTGGATGCCTAAACGCATTGGTTTGCTGCCATGTGATTGGCCACTTAGCTATTTGTGTTAACCAGTAATTGTAACTTATAACGTGGCCAGTGAATGTACTGGTATGCAAAAACTGAAAGAACAGCTGTTGTTTGAAACTTTTTTTCAGTCAAGACTGGCTCTAAGCATGCAAGCATGCACGTATATTTAAAACGATGTACAAGGTATTAACCTCAACTGATGATATTAAAGAAGCTGACATTTGGTAAAGAAGTGGTTAACGGTGTTGTTAAATTTAATTGATGACAGGGATGCATGGATCAGCATTCACATTGTGACTGATAGTGTCAAAACACTGAAAAACAGCAAGATGAGCTTCAGTCAACGAGCCCATGTTTTAGTTTTTATTTATCTTACTGCTGCTACAACTTTGCACAGTTTGTTTGCCCTTTAATTAAGCATACTAAACAACGCACAGATTTATAGAAATTACTATAAAAATATAGATCTTCAAAACACCACTCCTAGCCCAAGAGGTTTGTGGTTCTGTACTCATGTCTAGCAACAAACTAGTGAAACTGTCAAACCAGTTTTTCAGGGTTGAACCTAGTGCCATGGCATTCAAAACAAAAACCAAAAAAAAAAAAGTGGCACAAAAATAGTATAATTATGACTTTTGTGGGAAAACCCTTTTAGTAAGTCAGCCTGCACAACCTCAGGATCATTAAAGTTGAATTCAGTTATTTGTGTATAGCTGCAGTTTTTCTTCAGTATTATTTGTGTGTCAAATTAAATGTGAAAATATCCTGAAGCATGCTCAATAGTCCTGGTAGAAATCTTAACAAATTTAAGACAGGTCCTCTGGACAAAAAAAAAAATCAATAAAAAAAAAAAAGTTGAAATGTTTTGTCTTTTATCCAGAAGATACATTTATGAAATTATGAACTATGTAATACTTTGTCAGTCTGAGGAGCTGCACTAAACTCAGTCTTATAAATAGTCCCTTCTCTAGTGGATCGACCAGTTTGCTGTTGACAGCCAAAACTAGCTGTTCACATGATCAAGGAGGACCATCAGCCTAACGACCGATTGTTAGTGCCCTGATGGCTGTTTGCTATTCACAGGGGGCTGAGTGATACTAGCAACAACAGCATTGTAAGAGGAGGACAGTTGAACATGGAGGCCTCCACCCCTGTTTAATGATGGACGGTTTCTCTTCACAAAGATGGCCTCCTTTACTCCTCTCTCCAACCATCGTTCCTTTCTATCAAGGATGTGAACATCTTCATCCCTGAACGAGTGACAGCTGACCTGGAGATGAGTGTAGACCGCAGAGTCCTGGCCTGATGATGTTGATCTTCTGTGCTGGGCCATCCTTTTGGCCAGTGGCTGTTTAGTTTCCCCGATGTAAGACTGATCACCCTCCTGACACTGAACAGCATACACAATATTACTCTGTTTGTGCCGGCGGGCTGGATTTTTAGGATGAACCAGTCTTTGCCGTAATGTATTTTGGGGTTTAAAAGCCACTGGGACGTCACGTTTAGAAGATAAACGTCTCAGTTTCTCTGATACTCCCTCAACATATGGAATGACCACTGGTCTGGATCTGGGTTCCTCCTTTTCACCTGATGGCTGGTTGGGGTCCTGTTTGGGTTTCTTCTCTGCTTTCAGGAAGGCCCAGTTAGGATATCCACATTGCTCCAGGGCCAGTCTTGTGTGGGATTTCTTCTTCTGCCAGGCTCCTGAATTAGTGAGGACGCTGTCTGCTCTGTGGTACAGAGTCCTGATGACTCCTAATTTGTGCTTCAATGGGTGATGGGAGTCAAACTGCAAATACTGGTCTGCGTTGGTGGGTTTGTGGAACAACTCAGTTTGCAAATGTCCTCCATCAGAAACTGAGACCTCACAGTCCAAGAAAGCCAACCTGCCATATTTTATTTTACATCTTCTCTTGTATGAACTTTATATATTTATCCACAGAGTTGATGTGGTCAGTAAAATGTTGGACTTCCTGGGATTTAATTTTAACCCAGGTGTCGTCAACCTACCTGAACCAATGACTTGGTGGTGTCCCTGAAAAGGACGTCAAGGCTCTCTTTTCTACCTCCTCCATGTACAGGTTGGCAACAATAGAGAAACTGGAGACCCCAGAGCACACCCATGTTTCTGCCTATAATATTGCTCCCCATATGTGAAGTAGGTTGACTGCAGGCACAGTTTCAAGAGTTGACACAGTTGTTCTGTGGAAAGTGTGGTCCTGCTCAGAGTGGTGTCTGATTTTAACCTTAAACTGACCACCTCTACTGCATCATCAACACCAAGTAGAGACCATTGTTTCATCAGTCTCCATGATGACATCCCTCACCTTATCCACAAAGTCCATGGTGTTCTGTATGTGGTGTTCAGAGCTGCCAACTTAACTTCTCACTATGAGAAGGGGCTATTTATAGTACTGAGCTTCATGCAGCCCCTCAGACAGACAAAATGTTTTGGATAAAATATGAAAAGTCTCAACAATGTTTATTTTTTATTTATTTATTTATTTATTTATTTTTATTTATTATTTATCCATCCAGAGGGCATTACTTTAACTTTGTTGGAAATTTGTCAAGACATTTAGTGAAGTTTTGGCTCTGAAATTAAACATGTAAAATATTTACTGTGATGCATTATATCTGACAAAGCAAGTTGTACCACTAAAGTTAAAAAGATACCCTCTGATCCTGTTTATTTGTCGTTTTCAAGGTCAAAGTTGTGAAGTTTTCTTACATGTGGACCATAAACAACTTTAGTTTTTGCCGAGAAGAAATGGGAGAGGTGTTGAAGAGTTCCACCTTCTCTTCCGGCCCAAATGATAAAATGAAATGGTCAGTACTCGTTAAACTTTTTGATTATGTAAATTTTGTTGGCATTCATTTTTCTTTTTTTTTTTCACCAAAGCAACAAAAGTAGAATTGTTTTCTCCCATTAAGATCGCTGATTGCATTGTTCTGTTTAATTGCCAGGTGTTTGCGAGTTAATCCAAAAGGACTCGATGATGAAAGCAAAGATTATTTGTCACTGTATTTACTTCTAGTTAGTTGTCCAAAAAGTGAAGTCAGAGCAAAGTTTAAATTTTCTTTGTTGAATGCTAAAAGAGAAGAAACAAAAGCAATGGGTAAGTACAAGCCAGGTAAAATATTAATTCTCTGTTGATCTTTATATTCCACAATTCAGCCAGTTTAGACCGTTCAAAGTCTTAACATTATTTATTTTTTTCTCCTGGTTACAGAAAGCCAAAGAGCATATAGATTTGTCCAAGGCAAAGACTGGGGCTTCAAAAAATTTATAAGGAGAGACTTTCTTCTTGATGAAGCTAATGGACTCCTACCTGATGACAAGCTCACCCTGTTTTGTGAGGTAAAGTTCATTTGACTTTTTTTATATGTTTATTGAATTTATATATTTTTTTGTCTTTGGTAATGCCTTAAATCAACAAAACCAAGTCCTACTGTTGTTCACATAGTTGAATCTCTGTTGTATTGACCTGAAAATGTTGAAAGCATAAAGCTGACTTTTAGCCAAGTGTTTTTGTTTATTGTACTGGCATTTTGTTCCTTTTCTTTAAATACAGTAGTCCCTTGTTTATCGTACTATCTATCATATATATATATATATATATATATATAATGATCACACTCATCACCTGTTACTCCCAATCTCCTGCCTTCTGTGTAAATAAACAATTTAAATACTGTAATATTACAGTATTAAAATTTGTACAGTATTTAAATTGTAGAGAAGAGAAGCGCAGCAGGACGAAGGAGCGAAGGGTTAACCCTCCACGCAACAGATGCAGCACGGAACAGAAATGTACTTCTTGATCAATTAAACTGTAACAACTGAACATAGAAGTTCTAAAATAATTAAAAATAACTTTTAACACTTATTTTTTTTGTGATTATGACGATTTTATCATGTTACATACTTTGAATTGTAAGTTGGAAGACAAAAGTCGATCGGTGCAGCCGGACAGCGAATGGTTAATCACGAAGCTGCTGCAGCCGGAGGAGGAGAAATGTGGTCATGTCAGAGAGCTGCAGGTGGCAGAGAGCAGAGATCATGACAGGCTGCAGGAGGGAGCTTCTCCCTGCACCTAATAATTTAGCACAGGGGTGTCAAACCCACTTACAAAAGGGGGTCACAATTAAAACCTTTTTCAAACTAAGGGCTGGTTTCAGAATCTACATTAAGTCAAGTTAGATTCCAAACATCTTTTCTTGGTTGCAGGTTCCTTAGCTAGAGTTTGATTGGTTTCATTTGACATTTGATGTTGCATTTTTGACATCACAATCAAAGATTACTGAAAAAATTAAAGTGATAAAAGTATTTTACATTTAAAATAAAATCTTGGGTCAGATAAGATGTTAAGCAGGGCCACATTTGGCCCCTGGGCCTTGAGTTTGACACATATGATTTAGCAGGTGCTAAATCATTAAAAATAATTTATTTTAAATAAACAATCCATGACTTATCCAGCGATCAGCTAATTTTTTGTCACTTCCAATCTTATTTTGAAAAAACGCGAAAGAGAGTCTGTGAAAGTCGAGGGGCTACTTTAATGTGTACCATTATAAAAAGTTTCTTTAGCATTGTTTGTGGTACAAATTGACTACCCGTAGTATATTTTTTATTTTTTTAAATAAGGTATCAACGTTGAATTGCTTTTATATTAAAATCATTTCACTATACCACAACAATAACCTTTTACCAGAAAGAGTCTTAATTTATGTCATGACCAGTGTACAGCTTGACTGCATGCTTAATGGATTTGCATCAGATGTGGATTTGCATCTGATGACATTTTACGTTTAGCAAGTTAAATGTTTCCTCCATCTTACTTTTAAAATAGTGCTTGTTTTCAAAATAATTGAATTCAAAATGTCAATAAGACTCAACATGTCTGTAAATGTTCAAGGTAAATTAAGTGTCGGGTGTATTTTGATATTAGTGCAGCTGCCTGAATATTGTCACAATTAAAGTGAGCTGGCCCGCATTTTACAATGAACTTTAGGAGTTTCGAGGAAAGTGCCACTTTGAAAAACAAATGTCATTCAGATAAATGACAAAATGCCTTTTTCTTTTCAATAAGGTGTATTGGAGAAATCTGTTCAGTTTTGTTCCTAGATTTATTGAGATGGACGTGCAGTTCTGGTTCACCACACTCTGTGATGATCACCCATCAGACACTCGAAATCTGATTCACAAAGTGCGGATGATTTTGATCCTGAGAGATGTGGTGAAGGCTTGTTTTTAAGAAACTTTGTTTACATTCAATAGAATTCATTCATTCTTAATCAATGATTCATGTTCCTGTTTTTAGTGTTGTGTACATTTTATAATGTAGCTGTTTTTGTTTAGTTTTTATTTCATTCCTTCTAGTTACTTTTTCATTTTATATGTTGTTTTATACGATTGTCTATTGTTGTCTGTACCTCATCTGTGTTCTTTGTTTAAAACAAGTCTCTTGTAAATGAGTCCTCGAGGCTCAATGAGACTAACCTGTATAAATAAAGTTTGAATTAATGTATTTGATTTTAATTTTAGAGATTTCCTTCTTAATGTTTGTGGTTCTATACATTTAACTTTTATAGAAGTAATGTTATGTATTAGTTATACAACTATAATTGTGGGACATTACTTTGATATTGCATCAAGCTGTTTTTTTTTATTTTTTTATTTATTTTTTTTATCATAGGTAAGTGTTGTCCAAGACTCCGTTAACATTTCGGGCCAGTCCAACATGAACATGCTGAAGGTACCAGAGTGTCAGCTGTCTGATGACCTAGGAAATCTCTGGGAGTGTTCACGCTTCACAGACTGCAGCCTCTATGTGGGAGGGCAAGAGTTCAAAGCCCACAAATCTATCCTTGCAGGTAAGACATTACCAACTGGGTGTGTGTGTGTGTGTGTGTGTGGGGGGGGGGGGGGGGGCATCAGAAGTGGCAATAAAAAGACACATCTATGCTTCTTTTTAATGACCTCTTGTGGAGAGTCATAAGCGCCTTGACAGGCTAAGGAGAGTCTGTGTGGCTGGTTTGATTTGTTGCAGCCTAGTTTTGCTGTGGTTGCTAATCCACACCAGCACTCCTGCTTGGCCCTGCTTGACCTAGATGACTGTAGGATTCAGGAGATTGAGAGGCTGGCTCTCTCCTCTCATCTCAATTAGACATGGTGGCTTCTGCAGTCTTCAAGGAGAAAATGCTTTCAATGTGACAGCTGTACGAATTCTGCAGCTTATTTTTTTGCACCACAATAGTCAAATGTAGGTTTGTATATACACATTGAACACGTAAAGTGACTTACAAGTGAGCATCAACATTCAAGCTTCTCTTCAGTAGGAAACCTACACCAATAGCTACTAAACATGTTCAAAAGGACAGAGGAGGGGAAATCTTTAAAGAAGGGTAAAAGCTGTATCAGTTGTGTCACATTGTTAAAATATTAGCAGAGAACATGGATCTGTAAGAGATTCTTTAGAGCTGATCATATCCACTGTGTGGGAACCACAGATAACCTTGTGCTTAAGGATGGCAGTACCTGATGAGGTCCATTAGAGGAACACAGAAGTATTAGGTGAATCTTTGTGCACCTATTTACTTGTAGAAAATAATGTTTGGTGCAGCTTGTTGAGCTACTTGATGAGGTAATGTGCTTAACAGGTTGAATCATTCATCTTTCTACCTGCTGCTTCTTTTCTGAGTTGTGGGGGTCACTGGTGCCCATATCAGCAGTCACAGTGCGAGAGGCGGGACAAACCCTGGACAGGTCACAAGTTAGGTTGACTCATTCTTATGTAAATGAAAATGTATTAATTTGTTTATTTATTTTGACAGCAAGGTCGCCAGTCTTTAATGCAATGTTTGAACATGAAATGGAAGAAAGTAAAAAGGTAAGACTGATGGGTTTTATTTGCTGCTTTTTGTGTATCCTCAGTATACAAATGTTTTCTGCCTTTCGACATCCTTTACTGTCATTTTCAATGATAATTTATCCCAACCCTGGTAATTAAAGTTTTCACCTTCCTTGAATCCATTTTTTTCAGATGTCATTTTCCTTTGAGGTGTAAAGTGTTTTATTTATTTTTTTGCCTTTTCTGCAGAACCGTGTTGATATTAGTGATGTGGATCCAGATGTCTTTAGGGAAATGATGGGCTTCATTTACACAGGAAAGGCCCCAAACTTGGAGAAGATGGCAGACAATTTGTTGGCAGCTGCAGATAAAGTAAGTATCTATGGACAGTTTTGCTGATTTTCGATTGTGTAATTACCTCCAGCTTTATTTTAGATACAGAACAGTACTTGCACTGATTTTGCTGTGCTCACACAGTAATTGGTCGTAATATTTCCATGGACCCTAACCACTTTCAATGTTTGAAGCGTCCAATGGCTCAGTTAGTATAGAAGGAGAATAAGAACTGACTCGAAGTCAATGAGGCTTATTCTGTTTCGTTCTGAAATTAGGTTGCTGTGAGACCGTGCCTAATGTAAATATTTTCCACATTAACATTTTAATTTTATTTTTTTCTGTCTCACCATTAGCACTTCATTTTTAGAATAAGTTTATCACATGACAGGTGTATAAACAGTAATGGGGACAAGAAAGTCCAACCACTTTTGATTTTAGCTATTTAAATATCAGAACATTAAGAAAAGTCCGATCTTTACCAGGTTATACAATTAGTTAAACATAAACTCAAACGTACAGAAACGCAACTTATTATGTCATTGCTTATTAAACAAAAGGAAACCAAAATGGAAAAGACGTGTGGAAATTTAAGTTAGTTCCATGAGTCAATAGCTTATAGTACAACTCCTTCAATGATTTGATTTCTTTGTGACTTTATCAGCTTCTCACTCAAGTATGAATGAATTTTGGCCTAATTTTATTTGCAGCATTGCTACATTTAATTTAAATTTGTGGTTATTTGTATACATGGCTACCGTGAGGTCCCTCCACGAGAGTTGAATTGAGTTGATGTCTGGATTTTGAGTGCAGCATTGCAACACTATGATTCTTTGCTTTTGCCACCACTCTGCTGTAGATTTGCTGCTAGGGATCGTTTTTCCTGTTGCATGATCTAATTTGGGCCAAATTTTAGCTGTCGAGCGGATGACCTCACATTTGCCTTTACTGTATACTCTGGCATACAGAGAAGTTTGACTCATTGACTGCAAGGTGCTCAGGTCCTATATCTGCAAAATAAGGTCAAATCATTACCCCTCTACCACTGTGTTTTGCAGTATGGGGCATTTGTGCTGATTTGCCGTACCTGGTTTTCACCAAACGTGATGCTGTGCATTATGGCCAAACATCTCGGGCATTGTTCAAGACATGTTCCTGTGGTTCATTCATATAATGTGTTGTTTGCGGTACTCGTGTTCTGATACTCCGGTACATAAAATAATAAAATGGTGGCGTTTATTTTTTTTCCTCGTGACTAAACAAAACCTCATAGAACAAATGTGGATGCTTTTTGTGCAGCATTGTAAGGTTTAGTAGTTTTAGTCAGGATACTTGGACATGTTCACTGAGGTGGTTGGGAATCAAATCAGAAACCTTCTGATTAACCTTTGACCCCTCTGGCTTCCTGAACTACAGCTGTCCCATTTTGTGTGTTTTCTTTATTGAGAAAGGACAAAATATTACGTTATGTTGTTGAAAATTGTGTCATAACAAAAAAAGTTGCTAATTCTCACTGACTTGTCTTTATTTAAGTTTTTTTCTTTTCTAAAATTTTTTTTTTGTGGATTCTTTATATCAGATACTAACTGTGGAAAAAAAATATTTTAGGATAGGTGAAGTGTGTTATGATAAGGGATTTTTTTTAATTATTAGTGATTTCTTGGCTGATTGCAATAGTTTAAACAAAATGTCAAAGCATTAAGAATTTCTTTACAGTCAAGCTTTCACCACTGCTTTCTGCCCCCAACCCACCCCCCACAACAGTATGCTCTGGAGCGTTTAAAGGTCATGTGTGAAGAGGCCTTGTGCAACAGCCTTTCAGTGGAGAATGTGGCCGACACCCTCATCCTGGCTGACTTGCACAGTGCCGAGCAGCTCAAAGCACAAGCCATAGATTTTATCAACAGGCAAGTATCGTGCAAAAAAAAAAAAAAACTCCAGTGATAAATTCCTGCTGCCATTTCTGTTTACCAGCCCTGAATGCTTACCTTTTTATCTCCTTGCCATAGGTGCAGTGTCCTGAGACAGCTGGGCTGTAAAGATGGAAAGAACTGGAATAGCAAGTATGTAATTAGCTGATATATGTGACACAAGATTAATAACACATTCTTATCTCTTCCCCCAACCAGATGCATTAGAATTCATTGTTTTAGCCCAGGCAGACAGAGTGCTGTTTGCCTTTTCAGTTTGAAGTGCAGTATCTTTGTCCCCAAGTTATTAATAGACTCATACCTGGATAAACCCCAGGAAAGGGATATTTGTACAATTTTGAAAGAAACGAGTTGGCTTCAGTGGCAAGTTTTTCTTTCAGATGATTTAGTGCCCTTTTATAGGACACCTTGAAACGTTGAACTTTATTCTGTTTGTATGTGCACTATAATGGCATCCTAATCCTACATTAGTTTCGGCAAATGCCCCACTTCAAGTTTACCATGTTACAAATCAAAACCCTATTACGTGTTGATTTATTTAATTTATCTTCATTGATTGCTGATTATCATTCCTTAGTTGTAACATCATATTACTTGTGCTTACAGCCATGCCACAGATATAATGGAGACTGCAGGCTGGAAGTCAATGATCCAGTCCCATCCACACTTGGTAGCTGAAGCCTTCCGTGCCCTGGCTTCAGCTCAGTGTCCACCCTTTGGTCTTCCAAGGAAGCGACTAAAACAGTCCTGACCGCCCGACTTTGCCCCAGGACTAAACTGAAGGGTGTGAAGCATGGGTTTACAACGAGAGGACTGTTGAGGGTGCCACTCTTATTTCCACCAAAACTGAACACACTTGAATAATGGACAGTGAAGCTTTCAGGCCAGAGATGTGGGGAGGCTGGCACATGGAAGGCTGAATAAATGGATATGGATAACAGTTGACTCAATCGGCGTTGCTTGCTCACTTGCTTTGCTGCCTCGGCTGAATTCTGTTCTGCCAGGCAGCAAGCCAAGTTCTCAGCTACAGTTTGTTTTTGTTTTGTTTTTTTTTTTCCTGTAATTTTTGAAATGGCCTTAATATATCTGCCATTGCTCTGGACCTGCTCAGAGCGCTTCGTTTATTTTACTCTGTGCCTGCCTTGTCACAAAGACCAGGCCTCCTCCAGGTTGCACTAGTTCCCATGTATAGTCATTTTGATAAGGAGTTCTATAGGAACGTAACAAAGATTTAACTAAATGGGAAATATTATATATTTGTAATGTTTAGCCCGTTTTGTGACTAGACATTAAAAAGCATGAACACTCAGTGCAAGGTCAGTTCTTTACACTTTTTAAAAAATGTGTATGCCCCATATTGATGGCACCATTTTGATGTAAGTGACAGTTGAACCATCTTTAAAAGACCAATGTACAAGAAAGTCTGTTATGTTGCATATTTGTGTGGGGAAAAAATATTAATTGCCATTTTGAAGACCAGTGTCAATCCACATTTTAAGAAAAGTGTCTACTTCAGTCCAATAGCATTGTCAAACATTGGACTGCACTCGATCTCCCATTTGAACGACATATTCCAGATCATACATCTGTGAACTGTTAATGGATACAATTTTGAGAATTTTTCTTTTAGTATTGCCAATTTGCAAATATATCTTCTCAGTATATTGTGGTCAACTAAAAGTGGAGAGACTAATAATGCATGGTCGTGTTTTTGTCAAGAGAAAGTGTCCAAGTTCCAGTCACGTTTTTAATCAGTTTATTTTCTGCAACTATCTGATACGTTTGCAGAATGACATGAATTGAGTATGTGCAAAATTGTCCTAACATGCTTGGATATCTGTAGGATGCTGAGCATCACTGCTGACAATGTTATTGTGTTTGAATGGGGGGGAGGATCGTCATGTTGTTGAGTTCGTCTCGTATGTAGCGTGGTGTGACAGACACTTCAGAGGATTTTGTAAACAGAGAGTAGCGTCATTTTCATATGATATTACTCGTCAATCAGCATCGTCAGAACTTGGAAGTGAAAAAAGTTGAAGTTGTTGTCTGCAAGAATGCCTGCATTAACCCATTAAAACATTTTCCAGCAGTTTGAAGTGACTCGTTCATTTATTTCTGTATTTTGAATCGCAAAGGTTTTGGGTTTAGGAAGGCTCCTGCTCATCCACAGTCGTTTCATTTTAATGATTGTTTTAATGGATGTGGATGTTAGGCTGAGGTGATTATTTTTCCCCCCCTCTACCGTTTCTTTTTTAAACATAATTACAAAACACTTGGCTAATCAAAAGGATGTGCACACTAACTGCACTGGGATAGCTTCGTGTTAAACCCTTTTCAGCAGATAAAAAAGACCTTTTCCTTTTGTTTTATGTGAACGCGAAGGCGCTGGCTCTAATTAAAGTGGCTGCGAGGCTGCTCTTTCCTGCGAGAAGAGACGTCTTCATCAGCGGCTTGCTGATCCACGTCCGCCCCTCTCAGCAGCGATCCTTGGAAATGGCTTGATAGCATCGCAGCTTTAGGACGCCTCTTCAACCTTTTATCTTCCTCACTCGCCTTCCTCCGTTAACTGTAATGCTTGAAAGAGAAGATGCCTGCACTGATGCTGTCAGAAATGAAGAATTCCTGTCATTTGGATTGTGGCAAAAAAATAGAAGAACCGGCTGGTGACACTGCAGGTGAAACTAAAACTTGATTATTTTTCCTGATACTGTAGAAAAGCTCTGCATTAAATATCACCTTAAATTGCTTCTATCATTCTTTAAAGGAATGCAATCACCTACTTCCTTGTTTGCATAGTTTTAAATTGTTTTAAACAACTTTTATTTTGAGAAATGGAGTCCATTATGGTCGAACCTTGAAATTAATGTGTAATACTGAAAGTTGATCTCTTCATGTGTTGTGAATGACCCTCAGCTACTACCACACCAAATTTTAAAACTAAAATTGAGTTGTAGCCATTTTTGTGTTGCATATCAATTAGCTGTGGTGACCCTTTTGAATTAAGTTAATCAAGTGTCAATCCATTGGTTATACTGTCTAGTTTCATTAAAATGCATCCAGTGATCATGAAATATTTTGCTAACAGACGCAGCAAAACATATCACCTGCATTTTGGTAGCAGGTGATGACTATAACAGTTTGTTAAAAAAAAAAAAAAACTAAACCACAAAAAATGTAATATATGTTTACATGCTTTTTTTTTAAGATTTGGATGAGTGCAGCAGGGGGTGTGAGACTTGACGCCGAAGCAGTAGGTGCCTCATCCTGATCAGATAAGAGTAATGGAAGCGAATGAAAAGACCCCTGTCCCTGATGGCCACAGCAAAATGGATGTGCTCCCTGAGGTGTACCTCTGGTATCATCCACGCCTGTGGACACAGATTTATTGCCCATTAAAAAGCTTCACTGAAATGTACCTCTTAAAATGGTGTGTTTATCCTGTTGAGAAGTCCTTTCAGAAATGAAACAAGACAACTGCAAGTGCCTTTGCACCAGGACTGACTCAGAGTGACAAATACAATGAGCCCGTTTCATGTGAGGTTTAATGGCATAAAAACCTAATTGATTTTTACCATCACATTTGGACAAAATGAACTTTCTGGGAAATCAAGTATTCTGGGAAAAAAACCCAAACATAATTATAAAGAGGTGCTCTTCTCCCACCTCCAAATTTACAGAGAAACCTTTAAAACAAGCAAAGGGCAAATAAAAATAACGATGCATTTACAAAACCAAATTTCAAATCATGTAAGCAATTAATCTGACACTTGTCTACATTATTTATGACGAAACACCAAAAATAAAAAGAATACATAATCATATATTTCAGGAAAAACTGACATCATTTACTCTAAAGCCATAATTGAACACGTTCAGGTTTAGATTTGCACAGTAAAACACAGTATTTGCACAACGGAGCGAAACTAAAACATCGGATATCAACTCTGATTTATCATACACGTGAACCTCATATGAGCAAGGTACTGGATCATTTACAGATGGTGGAAAAATAAAGGAGCATCAATAAAAAATTGCAGTTATGTCATCAGTGGCACATGCCCTAACCCAAAAACCTGGGATATGTGCAAGCGACATGATCTATGACATTTAACTTGGAGATGATTTCCAGGAGAACCTTTCAAAACTGTCTCAGCGATTGCAAGATCGAAGCACATTACACCAATAGACTGGATGTTTTCCACTTGTACACCTAAAGCTGGCAGTTTAGGATTGCTGTACAAGTGGGAAAAACTCCATATTTCAAATTTATTCCCACTTCTGGATAAAATTGCAGACTCATTCTTTCCCTTCTGTCCTGTTTCTAATTTATTTTTTCTCCCTTTAAGTTTCTCCACTCTTGGTGAATGGATTTCCCAGGCTAATTAAAGCCTATTAAAGACAGGTAATGTCAGGGCCGGTAGCAGGACCATGACAAAGTGCTGATAATTGTCTGCCAGACTCACTAAATCTACCTGTCGTGCAATTATTGCCTCCCCCTCCCGTCCTCTCCTGACACATTAATCCAGTGCGTGGCTTGCTTGGCAGGCTGATGCCTCAAAGTGCATCCAGTAAACACAGATGTTGGATTTCAGACTGGCTTAACACGCGGACGCCTTAGGATAATTGTAGCAAGAAACCAACACATTTGCAGGAGGAAGCGCAGGAGCACGCCACTTTACACACGGTCGAGTGGTTAAATGTAATGATTCACTATTGTGCTCACAAGGAACTTTGAAATTTGATTTGTTGGACCACTTTATTTTGTCACGGGTAATTTGGAATAGGATGAATCGATCAATTTGCTTCTATTCCATAACTACAAAAAAGATGTTTATTCAAAGCTTCAAAAAGATTTGAAATAATGGAGTGCCATTTTTTAAGTTCTGTTAATGTACACATGAATGTCAGCTCAAAAGGTGAGTAAATAGTCTGATGATGTTAGCATCAGTGCACCGCTGTCGGAAGCTCCTCGCTCATAGTTTAGCCTTGAAGAAAACATCTGGACAACACAGTAACTACACCAAAGAACATGTGCTGTTATGATGAGAATTTACCCAGGGTCCGTGGCTAGCGCTGCATCACACATGAACCCCTAAAATCAAAGTCCCTGGACACCTAACACTATCTGAAGTTTTATTTCTGAATACATGTGCATTATGAACAAAAGTTTCTCCAAATCCTGTCACTGTATTTGTCCCTTTGTCTGTTGACTTTCCTTCAACATGTCTCAAGGTATTTAGGTAGTTCAGGACAATGGGTTTAGAGTTTGACATTATAGTTTGAAGGTAAAACAACGCGGATGCATCTACAACAACTAGGTCATCCTGTGGAAGAGTAAGGTGTGTCGCTGTGGTAGTTGTAGTCAGGGCATACCTTCTGCACCAGTTTGTAGTCTACACTATAAAAGGCTATATAGATGCATATGACTTTGAAGGGTTTTGAGCACAGCCATGACACGTGGCTCTGCGTATGCTCCTGATAGCACACCTTGGATGGGTCATAGCCGCACAGGGCGGTTTTCTTGTTGCGGTCTGTTTTCTCGTATTCGATGCGACAGTTGAACGATTTGGTGTCTTTGGTCTCCAGCGTGGACTGCTGGGCGATCTCAAACTCCACAACCTTTGAAGGTGGCACCAGGCTTACAGACACATTCCCCATTCCTGTGGAGTTGTGGCGAAAGTAAACGCTAAAAGTGCCATTTCCATGGTCCACGATCTTCCCTGTGATCAGGAGGTTGAGTTTGACGGTTTTGATGTTGGAGTGGAAGTCCCCCCACCCAAACATTTTTTTGAACTTGCCAGTCTTGACGATGGGTCTGCGCTTAGTTCTGGTCTGTGCACCCTGAACATCTGTCTGGTTAGATAACCAGTCCCAAAAGTCATCCATGTTCTGTAAATATGTCATTTCCCTTGTGTTGCTCTTGAGCTCGGGGGAGCCCCTGGCAAACAATCTCAGGGGGTTGAGAATCCGTGGACTGGCCCCCATGGGAGAAGTCTTGTGTCCGTTATCACTGTCCTGCCACTCGATGAGCTCTGTGGCTTCTCCATGCACTTTCCTGCATGTGACCTTAATAAAAAACAGAAGAAAGTAGAGAGGAAAGCCACATTTAGTAATAAATACAGTTGTTGTTGTTGTTGTTTTTTTATTGTTGTGCTGGCATTTCTTGTAAATTGATGATGACATGAAATTTAAGAATTTATGGACATTTTTTTAGATGGTTTGTTTCTAATTGGTCATTAAAAATAAAAATCACTGCGTTTATTGGAGGAACATATTCCAATTGCAACATGAGCAGTTTAGTGACATAAAAACTAAAGCACACAAAACAATTATAATAATTGCCCATGTTTGCAAACATTAGAAAACACTTTAAAATAGTGTTTAATGTAAATCACCGATCCTTTTACTGATCTCTAGCAGGTGGACTTGGAAAAGCCTTTGCTTGATAAAGTTTTCAAAGAAAATGTCACAAAAAAAAAAGTGCCAGAAAACTCTAAATTCACTGCTGGACACGACAAACCATAAAATGTACATTGCTCAAATGTCAGCTGATGATGTTAGCACTTAGCATGATTGCTGACTCAACTTGTGTTCACAAACAACTAACATGCGTTGCTAAATTGGCAAGAAGTCAACATGCATTGTTTGAACATTTAGGAACATGGTTAGGCCTATACATGAAATATTTACATAATAAAAATAACTATCCATGGTATCACATATGTAAATCTGCAGCATAGACTGTAAATTTACACAATGCCTATTGGGATAACTTAATTTTTTTTAGTTGTGAAAAACAAGCCAGAATAAAAATACCCTCAAGTCTTATTTGTGTGTGCGGTGACTGAGGATGGTGACATCTTTGTGCAATGCAGAACTAATGGCATAGCCTGGATGGCACTTAGCAACATCAAGGATAGAAAAGAAGATTAGTCTTTTTTTTTTTTTAAGAAAGGTAAGTAGTGTTATTTAAAAATAATATTTATAAATTAATACTTTTCTGTGTGCAAGTTTTTGCTTTTGCACTTATTCTTACAGATAGGTATGTTTCATATTCTTCTGTTACCCAATTAATATGTCACATTTACTCTTTATACCAGTGGTGAAAGATGAATGATTTTATGTTTGAAAAAAAATACACGTGCATTGTATTGATTGCACCAATGTTTCACTGCGTATTTGTATAAGTCTCGAAAAGTTTGACATGACAAGCCTCATATCTGCGTTTATGTTAATTCCTGTTCAGCGTATATTAAGATTTTTAACCCTTGAGTCTTGGAATAGTGTCCAGGCAGTTAAACCATCCTCTGTAGTGGTGTGGCACTACAGAGGAGCAAAGTGCTAATCCAGACCAGACACAGTTCTGAACTGTGATCCCTCCTTATATCTCAAAGCCGTTTAGCTTCGGGAGCGATTTCTGGTCCACTTCAGATAAAGCTGCAATAATTCACAGCAATGAGCTTAGCTAGTTTTATTAGTAATTAGTACTGCTCACTCTCCCCAGGCCCTGTTGTAGGGATCACTGAGAGGAGCAGATGTTGAAAGTACAGAGCAGCGGCTGTTTGAATCCTCACTGAGATGCTGTGCACTACTCCCAGACTAATTATAATTTTGCTGTAAGCCTAACTGAAACAAACGTGTACAAAGCTAACAAACTAGGTCGTCTGGCATTATTTGTTTTGCCACACTTAGACTCGAACAAAAGTTTCTGTCTGGCATGCAAAACGGCTGCATGGATCGTACTCGTTCCTACAGACTTTGCCAACACTACTTAAAGGTACTTGGAAAGAATGAAATCAGATGTTAAAAGGCAATCCTGAACTATTATAGCAAATGGTGCAGTTTGAAAGTATTTACTGCTGAAGTTATTTTTTTTTTCTTCTAAATTTCAACATGTGCAGCTTTTGCAAAACTTCTGCTAGACAGTAAGTTTTCTATCACATCTCCATAAGTAATCAAATACGTAGTAGGTGGCATCTCAACACAAACTTTGCTTAGAAATTTGGAATTTGGGGCATATTAACCATTGATATGAAAAAAGAAGTGTATATATTGTGTGGATGTTGTTTCTCCTTTCTATTTTGGGCGGCTGTGCTGGGTGGTTAGAGTGGCCATCCTCCATTGCAAAAGCTGGTGGTTTGATTCCACCAACAGTCACATGCCGGAGTGTCCCTGGGCAAGACACTGAATCCCTCATTGCCTCCGATGTGTGTCCCATCGTTGTATGAATGTGATAAAGTACTGATTATTCTTTGTATAGATCTAGTAGAGTGCTGTATGAATGGGTAAATGAGGGCACAGATTGTAGTGTAAAGCTCTTTGAGTATCTTGATAAGGTAGAAAGGTGCTATATAAGTACAGTCCATTTACCATTTACTTTGCAATGAGTACCTTGAAGTCACAGACTGTAGTGGCACCTTAAGGCCTAAAGCAGAGTAAAATGGTTGGCAAGCTGGATACTGAATACCGAATTAATATGTCTAATAATGAGCCTGGCCAATCCATCACTTTGCATGATGCTTAATTAAGACAGCTGCTCCCTGAAAACACGGATGAATGAAGCAACACTGTACTAATGTCCCACAATGTAGTTCATGACAGCCACAGCCATTTAATCGACCGGTACTCTTGGCAATATTCCCAAATGAGACTGCTGCTTAGTAATACCTCGTGTGAGCGCTGCTCCTAATTCGATTTGACTCTTGCAGCATCAAAATAGCCTCTGCTGCAAACAAAAATCTGTGAGCTCCCAACAGGAAGATTTCCTCACCTCCGCGAACAACGAAGACACGGCACTTGTCTTCCCACCAGCTCGAATTGTCTTATCCATTACACATTGAGTGTCATGCTGCGTTGCTGCAGAGGTGAAACTAAATTGTCTTTCGGTGTAAATCTCAGGTGAGCTTTGTCTGGGATAATTATAATGGAAATGAGAGAGGAGTTTAAGTATGATGAGCAACTGGGGAAATTGCTGTGACAACAAGCGGATCAGCACAGGGATATCTAATACTTAAATGCCCCGAGATAGAAGAAGCACGGGGAAGTTGAAAGCTGGCGCTGAAACATGGGCTTTGCTTTGTCTCTTTCACTGTCTCCCTGCACACCTTGTTCGTTTAAGTGGAAGTGTTGCCTCTTAAATAACAGACTAGAGGAATGTGAGTGTTTGTAAAAAAAAAAAAAAAAAAAAGAAAAAAACTGAGGCAAGGTCTGATGAAGGAGAATGTACAAAAGCTTAATTAAGATTTTTAATCGGTGCAGCCGCGCTAGAGGCGTTTCAGGGCGACTTGAAACAAGACATTATTATGATAATAACTGCAGACTTATGGAGCTGAAAAACACCAGACTTCATCTCAGCTGCACGAGGCAAAGTTACCGGCGGCGGATATCTGTCTGTGTGGTTTGGCTTCTTCCTCTTCCTGTACGTCTTACAGAAGAAATAAAAAATAAGAAAAAGAAAACATGCATGAACCTTATACACTCTCGCAAATGCAGCGCACCAGTCAATGTTACCGGAAGAGTATATGAATACTGACCTAAGAGTGGATATATTACATTTGTATAATAAAGTCTGATGAAGACTTAGTGAGCTATAGCAGCTACAGTATTTCAGGTAATATTTGGAACCAAAAGGCATGCATGCAATTGCCTTAAAAAAAAAAAAAAACTAATCTGATCTCATAACGTTGGCTTTATTATATAGTAAAAACTGTATATGTATTTTCATATGCAGTAACTAAAAGTGTAAACTGAGGTACTTCTACTCATGATAGTTGTGTGAATGCTATGAAACATTTACACTATTGTGGTCCTTTTTTCTTCCGTACATTTTTCAACATCTTTCTCATTCCACAATTTTTGTGCTATTTCAACAAGACATATCAAAAGATTAAGCTCTTTCAGGACGATCCTGCTATGACTTTTGGTATTGGTGCAACTTTAGCTTTTCAAAATATTTAGCCTTTTCTGCCACTTTGTTTATCATAGAAAATGAATTGAGCTCATTTTACATCCTTCAAATCTTTAGATCTGTTTTACTGCTCCTTTCACATTTTGTTCCGGTTCAGCTTCTTTCAGCTTCCCTGTGCAAACTTAAACTTTTTTCCAGCCACTTTCAGCTAATTTCAGCTGTTTTTCAACTGTTTTGTGATACTTTCAGATTTTTCTGCTAATAAAGATTTGTTGTGTGCTTTTTCTAACTTATCCTTAATTTCAGCTTGTTCTGCTGCTTTCAGCTTATTTATGCGTTTCAGCTATTTCTGCTATTTCAGCTACCTTGTTAGCATTTTAGCTAATGTCAGCTGTTTTCAGATTAGTTCAAGTTTTTCATGGTCATTTTTGCTTTGTTAAGCCTAATTAACTTTTTAATGCTAATTTTCTCATATATCACTGCATGAGTGCAGCTACAGCGTGCGCTCTCAGGACATCATTACGTGTAGCGTTCCCTCAGTGAGGACTGAACTAGGCAAACGGGCCTTCTCCTACTCTGCTCCTGTTTCCTGGAAAACTTTGTAAAAAGATCTGAAGCTCTTGACCTTGACCCCTCAGAGTGACTTCAAACATCTAAGTTCCTGGTAAAAAAACAACACAGACATGTTCCTGTTCTTAGTATTTTATATTGCATATTGTAGCTGTTTTTTTGTTGTTGTTTTTTTTACATAATTTTCTTTCATTTATTGTTTTTTAATTTATTTTTATTTATATGCCTTCTTTTATGATTGTCTACTGTTGTTATCATTCTTTGTTAAAATCAGGTCTTTCTTGTAAATGAGTCCTCGAGGCTCAATGAGACTAACCTGTATACATTAAGGGTTGAATTGAATTCAGTTTGTTATGCTCCTTTCAGATTTTTTGCTATTTCATCTACTATTTAGCAAATTTTATGATAATGATAGCTTTTTCAGCTAATTCCACATTTTTAGCTCATTTTAGCTCTTTCTGCTTCGTTCTGGTAGTTTAAGATTATTTCTGCCTTTTCAGCTTTTCAGCTGTTTTTTTTTTTGCTTATTTAATCTTTGTTCAGATAATTTCCACTTTTTGTGCTCATCTGCTTCTTTTAGCCTAATTGGTCAAACATGTTCTTTCTGCTTTATTCTGCTAGTTTAAGCTTGTTCTACTTTTTTAGCTACCTTTTTAGCATTTTAAGCTAATTTCAGCTGATAAATTCAAGTTTTTTTTGTGGTACT